CTTCGAAATTGGTAATAGAAGAAGGATGATTTCCTTTGTGGATTTCGGTTGAGGGTTGGTTTCTTCGTTAAGTAATTCCACGAGTAATGTAGTATTCTCTGCGATACAGTGGATACAGATGCAAGAAAACGACTGTTGGTAATTATTGGCTGGCCAAACTGTGCGGGATTTTCTATTTGTTACAAGTACGTCAAAAACCGATACGCAGCCGATGTTTCTCCTTCGTTTGCTATTAACTAGCACGAGGAACTTCAACGTTGCGATGGCTCGGTTCTAGCCATATCCATTCATCTCCGCGCGATGTCATCTGGGATCCATGGGATTACTCTCGAGAGACGAAAGAGCCAATTGTACCATATAAAAGTCATCTTCCATTGGATAGGGTTTCATAGGGTTTCATTCGCCTCTAGCCACGCCGATAAAGTAAGATTTAAGAAGATCAGAAGAGATCAAGATTATCTGCTTTTTCTTTTTCTACGCGGAGGATACCTTTAAGAGATACGGTGGACCTCTTGGGGAAGTCGAGTGAACTAATTAAAAGATAATGATGCTTTTCATCTTGCTCATTATCCTCCGGTAGTTAACTCGGTGGAACTCCAGTTCGAATACAACAGGTGCAAGAGTCTCTATACAAAATATAAATTTCGTCCACGATTTTGTACAGAAAATAGCGTTCGCAAATAGCGTGTTACTCTTTTGCACTTTGATAAATATTCTTGACAACGACCGGCAAAGTTTTGCAGAAAGTTGTTAATTTACCGATACGGTCGCCATCCTCGTATTTGCATATTTTACTAGCGAAACCGACGAAAAAAGAATTTCCGCGTTGTCGGTGTGGCCGATAGTGGAGTAAAAAAAAAAAAAAAAAAAAAGAGTCAAGGCGAAAAGGTTCTCATGGGCTGAATAACTAATTACGATGAGTAATCGAGTATTTTTTATTTCTCGGTGAATTTATGCAGAATACAGTACTAATTATACACGACGTGTATTTATACTTTATATTTTGTATTTATATTAATATATATTCTCCCGTACCATATCTTTGTTTCACTTAAACGTTATTACTTAATTACATCACATCAAACGGACACGGTGCTGTATGGTTTCTTTTATCGATTATGTACACATCTGTTGCGGTTAATTGTGCCGATTAAACGAACGTTGAACGGAGGAACGACGAACGAAAAAACTGGAGGAAGGAATAAAAAGCGTACAATATTCGTTCGATTCCCATATTTTCTCCACATAATGTATGTTTAATCGATTGTATTATCGATTATACAAGGTTTCTTTATGAAAACCAATGGAAATCGAACTTTTGCACACTTTGGGGCTTAAGTGGTGCTCTTTTATGCGCACATCCGGTGTACGTGTACATTGTATGTATGCGTGTGAGTGTTTATGTACGTGTATCTTTGAGTTAGCTTATCTTATGAATTACGATTATTGGTCGAATATTGTTGTTCCAAGCCTCTTTGCCGTGCAATATCGATCCTTCTCTCGCGACCTGCTGTACACGAGCCACGTGTCGCGTTCAGGCTATTATATTTTTTTCTTCTCTGTTTTCTTTACGCTTCTTTTTATATTTTATTTACTAGGTACACCTAGAGCAAAGCGTTACAATAGGTTATACGTATCAAGTACGCGTTACGCGGCTCTTAGTTTTATGTTTTGAATCGTAAGGTGGCCTTGATACGTATTTGTTTTCACTGTTCTACTAGGAAAGGCCAGTATTTGTTTGAAAAAAGTTAGACGATTAAGGTGAGACTGAGCGACGCGAGCGAATACGCGAATACGAATGACGTTGAAGAGGACTCGTTTTAACGAGAGTTCGAAGAGCTCGATAGAGAAACGTGCATGCGATAACTTGACGAAAGAACGAGATGGATTTTTGTAGGATAAATTTAGGCGGGAAGTCTTAACGCGGAGATATGGTTGTATCGCGGTGAAATAAGTTGATCTGAACTGGAAGAAAGTATTGAGAAATTCTTAGCAGGTGGTATCATAATTTATGAAACTAAGTAGGTATGGAATGTTCAGCTGCGGTAAGTAAATAAATAATTTTGTAAAATTATGCTGGAATTTTAGAATTGATTGCTAGAAATTGAAACAGCTGTTAGCAAAACGTACATCGTATTCGTCATAATGTAAATTCAATTTCATCGAAGATTTGATTCAAGATATAGATAATAAATATTCGAAGTGTATCGACGAATCGAGCTTGAAATTGTAACCAACGAAATATTAATTTCGTTACAAATTTTCTTATTAAAACGCATTAACCTTCGAAACATTACGCACATTTCAGAGAAAACGAAATACAATGGCTGTTAATGTTCGATAGAATTAATTCCCCTTGCGATAATTTCTGTATCGAGCTCTCTCCATCTTAAACTACGTGTTTTACCATTATTATTCAATTTTGCACGATCATAATTTGTTTATCGTGGTACTACGATCAACCAAAAATCAAAAGCATCGAGTAGACAGCATACAATGCGTACCTACTTAACATAGCGTTTTCGCTCGCGCGTTTCCTATTGAAATATTCTCTTGGTACGAGCATGGTTCCAAATGTACTGTCTCTTTTTTGTTTTTTTTTTTCTTTTTTGTTTCTCTTTAAATTCTATCACGCGTTTTGGCCCCTCGTCCGCTGCAGTAAGGAAAATGAACTTTCGTGCTGAGCACGTAACGCAAAAGTGGCAAGTGCGTGGTCGCGTTCGCGTCGCGACGAATGCGAGCATGCAAACACATTAAAATCGCTCGAACAGCGTGCTTGGCTTTCGAAACGACCCGCTGCAACGAATTCGAACCTCGTGCACAGTCTTACTTGGGAAATCGCCCTAAAGAAAAAAACACGCGAATGTTCCTTTGTTGCGTTGCGAACAGGCAACTGATCTCGCCCACGATTTGTTCCACGTATGTACAATTAACTTACTCGCACATGAAGGAGATACGGGTCGTGTTCCTGGAACATGTTACATTTCTTTCTTTTGACGGCCATTAGTTTTAATTGCTTGGATGAGATTTAAATCTTTCGTTTCTTTTTACCCATACGGTCATAAGAGAAAACTTTATGAAAAAGCTTCGAGAAAGTTTTTAAATTAAAGCGTTTTCGCTTGGCTTGAAATATATTTATAGTGGGATATATATAGTTCGTAAGACTTCATCGTTTATCATCACGTTTGAATAGAAAGAGATCGAAATTTTCAATTCAATTGTAACGTGCACTAGTTCAACTATCTTAGATGCAATTCTGTACAAGCACTTTCAGTTGTAAATTTCAAAAATCATTTGTAAGAATTGTAAAGCAGGTACATTTTCAGAAATTACGTACGATTAGTTCCATATCGTCGAATTCGATTATTTTTCATTGGTACAAGCTATCTTGAATAATTTAGATCATAGTATCCGAGAAATTCAGCAGAATGCGATGCGATATCTCATCCGTACCAAGCAGCATCAAATTCTACGCCAATGAAACACGACACGTACGCGAAGGAGAGAAATCAAATAAATACAGGACGGATATGTTTAATCTTCGAGCGAAAGACTTTGTCCTATGCATTCTCTATGTTCCTTACAAATGTACGCGCGCTGAAGGTTCCTCCGTTTATTAAATCCTATAATGCAGTTCACATCGCATTACGTCGTTCTCGACGAACGTTGTGAGCCTCGATTTCAAAGGATTCTTCTCTTCGCTTATCGTTCAATCGATCAAAGTTAACAGGATAAAACGATGCGATTCCCCGATATGTTCGATCGAACGTACAAACTAGACGCGTTCGTAATTACCAGTTCGCGTTTCTCGCGACATTGCGCTTGAAATGTGCAGAAACACACCTACTCCGTCCCTTTCTCGTTTATGTATGTATGTACATGTACACGAAACATAGCACACGTTAAGTAAACGCTAGTGATATCCCTTTTACATTACATTTACATACATTAAAGCTGCACCTTTACGTGTATACGAATACACATCTAATGTAAGTATGTACAACGACGTTACACCCCTATGAATCTAACTCACACAGCTAGATTTAAGTCCGATTCTTCCTGATTCGATGCTCGTCCGTTCTCGTTTCGTTCGTTTCCTTCGATCGCCGATTTCTACTCGTTACGCTTCTTTTATCCGATTATCGCGTTTAAAAATCGGTTCTTTCATCCAATTTCATCGATTCTCTTATTTTTCGTTAAGCGTCGGTCGTTTTATTTATTATTTACCCATTAGACGCCACGTGGTTTCTTAATGGTGTTCGATTTTTCAGTCGTTTATATCGTGTAAATTTCACTAGAACTTGTATTTTTTCCTTTTTTTCCAAATTTCTCGAGTAAAGCGTAAGTAAATATCAGAGATTGAAGCAAAGATTGAAAAATGCTAAGAAGCTCCTCGACGCGGTTAACTTGTGAAACACGATCCGATTAATCAATTTTAGTTAACAAGGCGTTTCAAGCTGTACAGATAATTAATCAATGTATGGAATAATATGAAAGTTACTTTAAAAGAGAAATATTCCAGAAGTCGAATCGAAGCAGCGATCTGTCTCGAATCTCGAACGAAACTCTCAGCAATTTCGTAAGGGATCCTAAGTTTCTCGGAAACTTTATAAGTGCAAACTCACGAGTCAATCGAACTGGAGAAATCGGACCTTCTTGGAAAAGAAGCAACTTTTCGCCTTTCTCCGTGCCAATCGGCCGGTCGAAGTTTCGAGAAGGCAAGTGTAAGCTTTTCTAGTCGCGGGAACCTGACGCGTATTGCGCGAGCGTATCGAAGATTGGGCTCAGCGCAGCCCGAAGGCTTTTAACTTCGCGACATCCCGTCGAGAAGAATGTCAGGTTCTCCTCGTATGAAGTTCGCTTGGAATTCGACACTTGTGCGACAGCCAGCCTGCGTCTATCAATTCTACAAGCTTCGTACTATTATCTCGATCAAGTTATTTGTGGTAAAGCTATGAAAAATATGTTTTGCTCAAATATTAGGGTGTCTTTGGCGTAAGAACTAGCAGAGTAGTGAAAATGATCGGATCGTAATTTTTCACGATAGTTTTATACATAGATCTAAAATGATTTATTTTGAAGGATTTCAATGATTTTTGATAAAGTGGTCTTTCTGCGTTATATCTATCTTTATACAGGGTGGTTGGTAACTGGTGGTACAAGCGGAAAGGGGGTGATTCTAAGCGAAGAAAGAAGTCGGAAATATAGAATAAAATTTTTTTTATTTTTTTTTTAATTTTTCCATCGAGGCAACGATCTACAGTGAGATCCGTTGTAACGTGCCGCACGCGTACCGAACGGAAATTCAAAATCGATTTTCTCGAAAACAAAGCCTCAAACGAAAAATTTTTATTCTATATTTTCGACTTCTTTTTTCGCGTAGAATCACCCCCTTTCCGCTTGTACCACCAGTTACCAACCACCCTGTATAAAGATAGATATAACGCAGGCATGTTGATTTGCTTGGTACGAGTTTTATACTTTAGCTATTGGTAGTTCCAGCGTTAAAAATATTACGTATTTGTAAAAAAGAAAAAGAAAATTCTTCCTTATGATGACTTGGTCATTAGCGAAGAGAATTTACATATAACACGATTAGAATTAGATTTATATATTAATAAATCGAATCTCGATTAGAGATTTCATCGTATCCTTTAAATCCACGAAGTACAAAGAAGGAAATGTATGCCATTAGAATTAGCGCGAGCAGCCTCCTAAGCTTTTTTTACCCTTTTTATTTTTTTTTTATTTGAATAGATGATCTGAACATAACTCGAGTAGCATGATCGATGTTACGTAATATTTCTCAGATACCCTAATGTTATACGCAAAACACTCGCACTTACAAATCTACGGATGTTCGTGAGTTTAAGTCAGGGTTTATAGTATCCTTAAAAAAATTCAATAAATTAGAAATTTCAAAGATTTTGTAAAAAAAGATGAAAATAGCAAATAATTTTTATTTCATGCCTCCCTATAAACGTAGAATATTATTTACGAACAAGAGATTGGCTCAGTGCTCGTAGCAAATGATCGGTACATTAAGAAACTATGAATTTCAAGGATTTTATGAGAAACGAGGATTATGAGCAGTTATTAGTTAGTATAGCTCGTTCAATGATCGAATTCAATATTATTTCTTTTCTTCCCTCAAAGATGAAAGTCTTCGTTCCTATGAAAAAACGTATGCTCTTAGTTATACACTAATTGTAAGAAAAAACAGGTACGGACAAAGACAGCGCTCCAATGGTGAAACGCTATGAAAAACCCGTCGACGTGTTGATGTTAGCGTCCTTTCACACGCGCTACCACTTCATCGCGAACAGACAATTGTGCTTCTAATTGTAAGTACGTTTACGATCTTCTCTTTCTCTTTTCTTTTCTTTATATATGTATGTTTGTTTGCTGCATGTGTAGATGTATGTGTGTGTCAACGTGTACTTGATTTTTGCCGCCTATTGCAGCTGGTAACTTTAGGCTACGCTTACGATGGAAACTCGACCAACTATATTTCTACGTTTTGATAGTAATATTTACGCGTAAAGTAAGCTGAGAAAGTAACGCCTTAATCGCTTGCTCGCTTCTTCTTTTCCTTATAATCCAACATGTAACTACTAAACTGCTTTAAATTTGTCAGTATAGGTTTCTTGTTTTCATTACAGAATCGCATCGTACAGTTAGTTATAATCCTAACAATTTTCTAATTTTAATTATACGTTTGTTCAGGAGTAAAATTACATTGACACGATGTTTTTGATGAGCGTTACGCACTATCTTCGATCAAGAGATAGTACAAACTACTTGTATGATGATGCAACAAAAATCGCAAAGATATCGTTTGTTAAAAGCTGATGTGACTAAGCGACAACACACGATCCTCGAATAGTATGCTAATTTTATAAAGAACGTACAAGTCATACCATTGTGTATTATAATTCAACTATGACCTACATTTACTGAATTTTTCATCGATCGAAAGTCAACAATTAATCTTCGTTCTCATTGAGCAATTGCGAAGGAATGTTCCCTTTATTGACCCCTTTTTAATGTAAATTTTTCAAGAATTCACGAATGATATTTGTGTACTTTAAACTTTTAAGAAAATACGACGAGCGACACTCACACAAACGAAACAAAAAGATCTTGAGCCATCTTCTTAAAATTTGAATTTCTTTCGATGACGATTTACCTTTAGTATCACCGTGTTTGACGATCGAACATCGTTGGTTAAGGCGTCACTTTCAAAGCTTAAAAGCTACGAAAAGACCGCGACCTGCTCGACAGTAGCGTAGCGTAAGAAAAATCCCGCGAAGCTTCTGTTGTATTTACAAATCGCGAAGATTTCTCGGCAACGAAAGAGCGAGAATAAGAGCAAGGACTGTCGATGGCATCGATTATGCAAAGGCTACGTTCGACCGCGAGAAAAATCAAGACGAGAAATTGAAGACGCGTACAGACATCGATAATTTTTGGTCGATCGATAAAAAGGTGGAGTGATCGTCGAAATACAGCGAAATCGGTGAAGAATTGTTTGTAGTGTGGTGAACAAACGGTATAAATAGTCGTGGGAGTATTCTTTTTAATCGTACACTTGACCTTTCGCGCGTTCGCTCGATCGTCGAGGGAGATCACTTTCTTGGCGACGCGCGATTCGTTTAGACGTGTCACTGAGACAGACACAACGCGGTGGATATTCTGCTGTGTGTGGAATCACGAGCTTCTTCGTAGCCTAAAATTACATATCTTCTTGAAAAATAGAACGGCCCGCTGGATTTTTCATTCCTCGGACGCTGGCTGCGTCGTGTCGCTGTCCTCGCGGCTCTCGCTGCTCGCCTTTTGCTCTTGCTCCTTCTGCGCTTGCTCCTTCTGCGCTTGTTCCTTTTGCGCTCTTGCCTCGGCGTCTGTTGACAAGTAAAATAACAAATAAAATGATATAGTAATGATAAATTTGATTTATTTCAGTAAGGATATAAAAGGTCGCTGTTTGTTTTTATCCTACCACATGTATCTCTATTTCTATTTCTTTCTCGACCTCAAATTAAACAGAAAAGAAAGAAAGAATAATATTTACTGAATACACGAATGATATTTACATGAATAGATATTTACTGAGTATTTATCGAGACACCAATCTTACGAGATATGTGTTTGCGGAAGATCTATTACTATTGATATACTATGAATGTTTACGAGAAATTTAAACGTGACAAATTTTCACATCACACATAGCGCGCGTAAGTATACAAAATACTCAAAGTAAATTACTCGTTATAATATTTGTCTTTAAGAGGAAACCTCTTCTTTCCTTTACGTTCATAAAATTACAAAGCTCCACGAAGGAATTTTAATGATTAATATTTGAAAATACACAAGAGAGCCTAATTCTCCGTGTCCTGATATCGTGGCCGCTCTTTTCCTCAGAAATGTAAAAATAATCTTGATGAAGATACCTCGAACAGCTTGTTCCTTCCAAATTTTCTTGTTGTCACCGAGGCAAGGAATCCAAGGTTTACCGATCTTGAATCTCTTGCTTTCTCCAACGGATCCTATGAATTATTCGTCATTTGAATAGATTTCACAGAGTGGGGCAAGTGAAACGCATTAAAGCGTGACATAGATAGGCTTTCGCTCACCGTCGTTCGATTCGTCCACATTCTCCTTTATATTCAACGGAGCGAGAACCGTCTCCAACATGTCGCTGCACACCTGCATGCTGGGCTCGACGATAAACTCGATGAATCCTATTTGCGATTCAGCTACCAGGGTATTGTTACGGTCGCATAGCGGAGAAAACGGCAAGCCGAGAGCATTCTCTTTATCCCCCTGCCGGAAGAACTCTTCCAATAGTTGCATTGTCCATCTGAGTGGAAAGAAACAACGTCATCGTTTTTTATTTGCCCGGCTTTAAAATTTTATTCGATACGTCTTCCCTCGTAAATAACGGCGAATTGCAAGGGAATTTTCAAGAAAGCGACTGTGTATTTACTTAACACGTTGACTGTCGCGATGGTCATCCACGTTAAGTATTAAGTTTCTTAGAATGATTAAAGTAAGATAATTTTCATGGAGTAAACAATTTTCGACAATATAAATGATTTAAATAACATTGTTAGAAAAGATCGAATTTGTAAAACAAGTAACGTGAAACTAAGTTTTAAATGTTTGCAATTGAAAGTAGTAACTGGTGTTTTTTACAGTCGAATATTAGGCAACGCTAGAACGTTTGAAAATAAAAAATGTTTTTCATTCTATCCTCTGAAATTTAGAAAATAATTCTTGAATTGGATACTAGAGAAAAAATTAAACTTCCCATTATCTATTGGAAGTTCTTGGTAAAGAAAATTTGTAAATACCATTTTAAATAACAAATTGTGTAAGAGATAGGGAAAAAGAAGCACTTTTCTGTCATTGATAACGAAGAAATAAAATTTAATTGAATTGGGTACACTTATCTCTGTCATTATAATGTTTTGTACATAATAGATTTTGTACGTCATTGCAGGGAAAGAATTTTTTGCACAACAATCGTTCAGTTGCTTACAATAGGAGTAAAAGTTCTACCTGTGATGAAGATCCCATCTTTTGGCCGGATGCGAGATGTCGCAACAATGGAGAACCAGACTGACAGCTTTGCTTTTGTCAACGCTAGGCTCCGCCAAGCTCAGAATGTTTTTCATGTTTTTCAGTTGTTGGAAATGAAAGCTCATGTCGGTTGCGAGTACCATGTCGATCACCAACGAACGAAATTCTCGGAATTCCTCCCTCGATAGATTTTGTAATATATTGCATTCATCTTCCCTCAATATCCTGAAATATATCTTGATAAACTTATCTGTCTTTTAAATTATTTTTGATATCATTAGCTGACCTTCCAGCTGCAGCAAAATTCCATTACTTTTCTTAATTTCTATGAGAATTCTAATCCATTTTAATTCATTTTTTTTTTTTTTTTACAAAAATTCATCGATATTGCAAGAAAATAAATAATTGAATGTTTAAGCTGTTTTCTGAGTAATTTGAGTTATGTAACAAATTTGCAACAACCAAAATGTTGTTCCCACAAAAAGAAATATATACGATACAGAACTATTTGTTGGAACAAAATTTTAATTAATGGTTAATTAAATTTATTTATCTAAACGTGAACTGCTATTATGTGAACGATAGATAATTGGTAGCGTGGAAAATTGGTGATCTCCTATTACATAAACTGCAATTGTATAAATTGTTTACCGAGCGACGAGTTTAGATAACTGCAGTTTTATTGTAATAGCCCCGATAAAAAAGATTTAGATGCATATTTCTGAAGCTAGAAGACCATAAAATACAATTTCGGAATAATGTCGCGTTTATTAAGATTTGAGTACATTAGAAAATATATTATGATATTCAAACCTCTATAACGTTATCAACAGCGATTAAATATATCCTCTCCTTTAAAATACACTTTTAAAATAATTAAAACACGTTTCATAATTCTCTCTCCGTATTCCATTAATCGTTTAAATTTTTATATCAATAGCCATAGAATACAAATAAAAACATATCAATGTGAACCCTCTTGCGTTATTGACGCAATATTATTAATAAAATTTTACAAATCACAGTTTACGTAATTTACAGGTAACAAGAACTACCCTTACATTACAGTGATATAGTTAACGAAGAAAAATTACATTTCACAAATTACAAGTTATTTTAGTATTTTATTTAGTAAAAAGTTACGAGATTGTAAAAGAGAAATCTATAATGTACAAGTTGTAACTTGTCAATTCTTAGCTAATACGGTAGAGCCTCTCTCCGCCCCATATTCGAACATCCCTTATCCGAATACCCTAATATCCGGACACAATATTTCCCAGTAAATGAACGGTTTGTTCCGTTTCAAATATTTGCACATTTTATTAGTGCTCACATGCAATGTATACTTTGCTTTATTCGATTGATTGAATTCTGGTTATAAGGATGCGATATGAAAGTAATACGACAAATAAAACGAAATACGGCACGATTAAAAACACGAAGGTGCTGTAAATGCAACGGAATTAATAAAAATACATGGCGTTGGAAAAACCACAGTTACGGATATTACGAAACAAAAATTGGAATTTATCTAAAGCACGTAGTCCTCTGATGCTGGCAACGGTAGAAGAAGCTTAGATATACTGGCGTAATGAAACAGTTTCATTACGATAAGGACGATAATAGCAACGATTTTACATAAATGGAAACGGCAAACGAAAGTGGCGATGAAAAGCTGACTTCTCGTGCAAAAGCGTTCGTGATATTCGAAAAGGAGTTTCGATGATTCGAAGTACAAGATGAACGTAACTCTATGCGATTATTTATAACGAGAAAATTACGTGACTTGGCTGTCGAAAAGAGGAGGAATTCACAAACGTCTAAAGATACTAATCTTAATTTACCATTAATCTTAATTTGCATTTGAATCAATGAAATTTCAAACGAAAGAACCGATTGTTACATTATCCGAAAATTCGGATTCTATTAGATTCTATCGTCCAAACAGATTTGGCTCCCTGTTATTTCGGACAAGGGAGGCTTTACCGTATTATCGGTTGGTAAATCATAATTCAAGAGAATCAAATATCAAATTATACATGAATATCGATAAACCGCGTAACACCATAGGACATGTCAAACTTCACGCAAATCGATCAGCATAAAGCATCCGGTGGAATTTAAACCGCAAAGCGTTAACGTTTCGCACTTCGTGTCGTGCATCAATTACAATTTCGTCGAATGGCAAGATTTACGTGTGAGAGGAGGACGGTTGTTCGCGGTATAACGGGGCACAAATTACAACGAAAATGGCCGACAATCATCAAGGGATCGAACATACACACGGGACCAACGTTTTCCGCGTACGTACCGGAAACTCGCGGAGATGTGGTGATTTTCCAGGACGGCTCGATCGTTGTAGAGTAGAGCCGTATCGCTACCGGACATTACGTGGAAATTGTTTGTGGTCCCAGTGTGCTCGTAGTCGTGAATAATCGCCGCAACCAGCGTGGCGAAAATCTCCAGGTCGGTCAGCCAATTCTGCAAACAAGCAAGCGTTTCGACTGTTCGCGCGCGTGTAATCCGTGGCAAATGAACAATTTTCCTAGAAAGTGATCTGAAAATCGTTATCGAGGATATCGAGCGAAAGCGAAATTTGTTTCTCACCCTCCGCAAACCTCGATTTATTCGTTTTGCGCGCAAATTCTCGAGTGACTCGCGCGTCAAGCGGCACAAGTGCCAGCTAACTTTTAAACTAGAAACAGCTCGATGTAGTGGTAGTCTGGTTCGAGAACTCAACGGGGGTGGGAAACTAGTGGGTGAAGTGGTTTTCTCCGTTCGAGCGTGAATTGGCTCGGATTTTCAACTTCTGATTAGTTACGTTTGATTTTTGTTAGGTCCAGTGTGGAATGCTGTTTACGATAAACCACTTGAAGTAAGTTTGCAATGTCGCGATTTCTAATTAAATAATTCCACATATTGCTACTTTGCTTTCATAGTGGCGCAACCGATAAATTTACTCTTCTCACGTACAAAGTTTACATTATGTTTGTACTTTTATCGTGTGAACTCTTGTAATTCCGCCCCAGTTTTACGTCAGAGGACAATCTTATTACTTATATCGTTATCAACATGGCCTTACTTTTACAGAAACACTGGCTCATCATCGGTTGTTTCGTGATCGGTTATACTACTTTCGCAAATAGTGGCATAGTTTGTATTAAGTCAGCCTTATAGCGTCGTTGGTATGGCTCACGAAAATTTCTTTATAAATTTTAAAATGTCTTTTTCCTAAAATTTACGTTTTTTGAATTCTGTCGATATCAAAGCAAAGTAGCGATATCGAATTTCCTTCTTACAAGACTGTCGAAAACTGTTTCATTTCATATTGAAATATTCATCTCGAACGATATATTAAATAATAATAATAATTCATCTTCGTTTTTAAATAATTCACATTGGTTCAACTAATAGTTATCTAAGTTATTTTCATCGCAATTTAAATGCCAATATACCTACTCGCGATATAATGATAAACAATGGAATGTCGTTAAGTCACTGATACACTTTTTAATTGATCGACTTACCATAAGTCCTACTTGACACAAAATATAGTGCATAGTCTGTGCGACATCAGCTGCGTGAAGATTATTATGATACGGATTTCGATGCCTGCAGTAACCCTCTTCGACTCTTCCCAAGAAGCACTCCAACACTGTTGCAGGGACTTTAAATTTGTGGATCATGCCGTATCGATTCAATAGATCATAGCCGAGATATTTCACTGGAGCTCCCATTGCGGCTTCGTTTAACGAAAATACGTCAAAGGACCAATCGTCTAAAGTCTTAAACAGAGATATATGTAAATTTCACTGGGTATTTCCGGCACAAAAATAAATATCATCTACCAGATCGTGGTAACGACATAAAAGTTCAGACTTCTTCCAGAGACAAGCGACCTATAGCTATGATCAGCTTCAGGATGCTATGAAGCTGTCAAATTTCGTACTCTATATTTATGTATTATATCTCAAATATTTAACGGCTTGTCTGAATTTCTCTTGTGTTACACCGTGAAAGTATTATACTATCTATATACGCTTCAGCAAATGACTAATTTGAGCACGTAGCAAAGAAAAATTAAAACACTGGAGTAATACAATATGGTAGAAAATTTTAGAATCTATCGGTGTCTCTTCAAAAACGCTACTTTCTGCCCAAAGACGCGTTATAAAATCAAAAATCAAAACTCGCTAGAAAATAAAAAGTCAATTTCATACAAAAATCTACCGTTCGAAGCTGTAAAAAAAGATCCCTAAACGAGGTTACGTGTTAGAAAAAGTACGAACAAAAGTCTGTACAAGTGTGTGAAAGTCTTGACAAATCTGGCTTCATCGTCGATCATGTTTGCGCGCAAATTTCGCACGACAGGCGTCGGATAAAGCTCGTATCGAATGCACCCGGCATACCTTGAGCACTCTAACCACTTCCGGCGGGAACTGCATGAACGCGATGTTGGTGACCCGCCTGTAAATCCGATCGACGAAGATTCCTGCCCTGATGGCGTGCGCGACCGAGCGGAACTTTGGCTTCTCGTCTGCCTTCCGCCTCGTGGTCGCAAGCTGTCTGGTAAAGGTCGAAGCCAGCCATTCGCGAACTTCCGGTGGCACTGCATCCGGCTGTACCTCCGACAGTTCGTCGTCCTCGTCCGCTAGCCGCCTAAGGAAAATGTTTCTGATTGAGTGATACGCGGCGAGACTAGAGACGATCGCGAAACAACTTGGAATCACAGTGGACAACTCCTACCTTCCCTACAATTTCTTTTTCTTTTTCTTTTTTTTTTTTTTAATCTTTCATAAGAGAACAGAGAGTAGGCTTACGCTCGAACATCCGCTAATAATCGCTTTTGCTAGTAATTCCTACCTTTTCTTAATTCTTTTTGTCTTTTTTCTTAATTTCTGCGTAATTTGCTAGATACCAATCTATTTTTGTGGTTTCGGTATTTTATTTAATTATCTTTCTCTTTTTTCGTTTGGCGAATTTTTACCGTCTACCGTGTACCTTTCCCTTTTGCCATTTCTGGTTCTTTATCGTATGTGTCATTCGAGTGGCTTTAATAAGAAAGGGGAAATAAGAAACACGTACGATTGGATTATTATAAAGGATACGACCATTCGCGGACTTTGTCAAGGAGCAAAGAAACAGCAAATGGTAGTCGTAGCTTACGCTTATCTCTGCTTCGGATCGTGACGGGACGCTTGCTCGACAGGGTGCGTGTGAAGCTGTGAATGACACAATTTTTCTTTTTCTTTTATTTCCTTTTTATTTTTTATTTTGTTACAGGGCGTTAGATATACACCGAGCATCGTGGTTTGCAGTCTTTGATTATGATGCAATGTTTTATCCCCTGGATACCTCTATCGGTTTTATCGTACTTTTGGAAACTACTGTTAGAGAGATTTTATGGCTTTTTTTTAGGTTTTATGTTTTTTTGTTACTCTTTTTTTTCGTAATGTGCCTACAAACGAACTGAAAAGATATTAGTTTTTGCTGTCATACTTTTGCCCGTGCTTGATATTGATTGAGGAAGATCGATGCGACAACGAATTATTCCGTGACGATAGACATTGGATTTTTAGCGAATATTCATTGGACAATGTAAGCTGGGAGTATTGTTTCATGGACAAAGTGTTCTTTAGATACAACTTGGAACTCTAATTTTCAAATTCGAGGTTATAATGGGATTTACATTGAAAGCAGATATAATACGGTTTCACGTCTCTATTATTACGAACGATTTATTATTCTTACAGAATCTGGATCAATGAATCTAGATTGTTATCTCGCTCTTGGATATTATGGTAGCGTTATTATTAAAACGAAAGTGTGCTTAATTGTACCAAGGATTTGCCTCTAAGGTTGTAGATCTATTCCCTTCTATTTATTCTCTTCCAAAAGTGATCCAAATTATTTATACATAATTCTAGAGTTTGTTCTGAATAATACAGTCGAAACTGTTTGAATAGTTAAGTAGAATAGAGAAAATGTGCAGCGAGGAAAAAGACGGTAGTATGCGAAAGCGGTTCAAGCAAACACACTAGTGTTTCAAAGTGGCTAAAAATATGCTATGTATAGTGATAAATTTTTAATGAAGCGGCGACGTGAATCCGTGTAAATTGAGCAATGTACGGTATTAATGAAACTTCTGCGTCTGAATATCGATGACGATGTGTTTCTGCATCGACTGCATTAGGAATCTAACCTTCGGAATCTTACTCGTTTTATTTAAAGCATAAGAAGTTTTCTTCAACGTCAAAAACAGCAAGGGAACTATAGGAATTAGAAAGTCCTCGCAAGTTTTTATAAGTTACTGGTGCTATATACAGTGGGTCGTTAATGTCTTTAATACTTTTAAGAGGGAGCTCGGTAAAGTTAATAGGAACTGTGATGGAATCTTCTCCAAAGAATATAACACTGAACAGAGAGGAATTATGTTTGATAAAGGAATAAGAGTTCTGTCGCGTTTAATAACGGAAAAATTCCTTGATTAAAATACAATTTCTATTAAATCGATGCAACATTTTAAAATATCAATTTGAAAACAATATTTTACGAATTTATATCCTAAATAATAGAATTTATTCCCCCGCCACGGTACGTTGATTTTTGTTTCGTTGTTCTAAGATTATCGTTGTAGTGGGTGCATATATCGACGAATCGACATTCTGACGAACTAAATACGTCAATGTAATCAAATATGTACGTATATGGGTTTTTATTAGTGTATCGCAGTCTTTAGCTGCTTCGTTTATCAGAATATCGGTTCGTTCGAATAATGTTGGATCCATCGTAACGATACAGTTCATTATAATCATGACTTGCAATAATCTTTCTGCCTAAATTGCGTTATTCATTGCTGGATAATGAAATTGACGCAATCTGTGCAGATGTAACGTTGCAATTAAAATTCGAAGAAACATCGCAAAGTATATAAAGCAATATTTTGTTGAAAGAAATTTTTGTACTTCGAAACGATCGAGCTCCGTAAAAGGTTTTAATTTATTAAGCACACTAGAAACACTCACTCGATTTCTCGTTAGGTTCAAGTATCAACGATAAAAGGAAAATCGCGGGAAAATATATCGAACGCAAACTCGTTACTGCCTTGAAAGAAAAAAAACAATCTTCCAATTCAGTGTTTCATTTTTTAGAGTGCTGATTCCCATTACTTTTGCGTCGGTTCGATACAAATCTTTTCGTATTAAATAAATACCGATGCTGTTGTCTAAGATCGAACAAAACTATGGAATTTCCTACTGCTGTGGTCATTAGAAAAATACGACGAACGGAACGTCATATTGCACGGTATCGACGCGTGAAAACTTTGGAATAATAAAATATCGATTTATCAATACTGGTAACATTTATCGCGTAAAGGTTTTCTACGATAGTTCGAAATATTACGATCAAAAAATATTTACATTTGATCGAATAGGGAAACAGTTCCTTTATCAGATACGATTAATTGGCACATTCATGCGTACTATAATTTAACATGAACAAGTTGGTAATCGTGTAATTTGGTAAAAATGGTAATTTCTTGTGATATTAAAGCTTTTGGCGAGTGTATTTATATTACGTGAGCGATTGTTACTAAAACAAGACAAATAGTGATGGATGAGGATTCATGCAGAATATGGATCATGGCTGTGTTTTAATAGTTATTGAAAGGGCGACGGTGAAACTACTATTTATTTTGTAATATCTAATTTTTATACGTACTTCGAATGTAATTTTTTGGCGAATGCTAGACTAATTACTGTTATTATTATCGTCAAATCATTTTGATATTACTTTTAGGAAATTTCTGTGATACGGTATAAATATATTTATACTACAATCATTTTTAAAACAAATCTGACATTAATCTTTAAATATTCTACCAATCGGGAATACGAAATATTTTGTAGTAGAAATAAAAACATTAATGGAAATTTTCTTTCAAATTCTAAAAAATCGCGAACTTGAGAAACGTAGGTATCGAGGAAGATATTAGAAAATAAATGGAACGGCGCTTTAACCGAGTTCTCGAACGAACTATTCAATTTATCCAGAGAATGGCGTCGTGTCACCCTTTCAAACGCGTTCTTACCGCGAGTTTTGAAGATTGCCGTGTCTCCGCGCTACGAGAAACGCAAAAGAAACGTGACGAAACGAAAAGACGTGTCTGACAGCGATGCACACCGTGAACGTGAATGAAATCTTAGCGATTTCTTGTATTCAAACATTTGAACGAACCTACGTCGTATACCCTGACGGCGAGTAGCGGTTGACTCCACACGCTCGGCGTCTCTATAATTCGAAACATGAAGAAAAAAACGTGTGTCACATTAAACGATAGATCACATTCATCAGGCCGTATCTAAAGCACGGAACGTCCGCCTGCGTGCGTGTATATCGATACATGGAAGTAAAGTAAAGGAAGAGAGAAAATAAGAAAGAAAGATAGAAGAGTAATGGAAATAGAAGACGAAAGAGAGAGAGAGAGAAAGAAAATGACAAAAGTTTGTACAGTTCCATTCTATCAGCGACATCTCATTCTTTTCTCTCATTTTTCTTTTTTTTTTTTTCCTCTTTTTATCTCTTACGGTTGAGAAGCGCTTACACAATGTCGCGTCTCGATGACGATTCCGTCATCCAGTTCATACAGGGGACGTTCGAGCATTCCATTAAAATAGCTCGTTTCAAACGACAAGTGATTTCTCAACGCACATCACCCTATATATGTATATATAGATACACGCATGCACGTTCTCATATAGATGGGCGCAGGAAACACATACATAGAGACAGAGGGAAGAACTCGATTGTACGTATATTTTTTTTCTTTTTTTTTTTTTTTTTTTTGAGATAGCGATGCATACAGCTGGTAAACAGGCAGATATCCAAGAAGTGAGCAGGTTACACCTAGAAAGATCTAAAAACAGGCTAGAGAAGAGGGAGAGACAGGCCAGGCAGGTAGAGAGAGTCGTCATGCTGTGTTTTGATGTGTTTGACGCTCGTGATAGACCGACTTTGATCATTCGCAATCCAATTATATGTACCACGTAACCAGCGAACAGCTGTTCTTTTTGCGTCTCCGTTATAAATTTTCGAGAAGCTATTTTATACGTTTCCTGGTTCTCGCGAATGTTTGGTTAATAAAAAAAAAGTCTGAACACGATTGCAAATCGATGAGATCCTATTTACAATGATGTACGAACGAGTGTTAATTTTGATATAAAATGAAATAAATTAAAAAAATTATCGCGTCTATCGTTACTTTTTGACTGGTCTCTTTTCGATATCGAAATTTGACTGTAGGAGGTAGAACGTAATTTCTTGCATGTGTGTTTATTCAGAAAATCTAAAACTAATATGTCATCAGTTTTAACTTCGCAGCATGATATAGTTTCGCTATATAGTCGCTAGACCTATCTAAACCTAAACTTATCACATATTAACATTCGTGCATTGCAGATATGTGCAAATTGGTAAGGAACGATACGATAGTTCCGAAGATACTAAAACTTGTCTAACGATCGACACACATTAATTCCTGTGCAAAATGTCTACACTACCTATTTAGTACAAAGCCAAAACTACATATATGTTGACTAGAAGAAAACGTAGTATGTATGTATGTATATAGATCTGCGATGCAACGCTGGGGGAGCGAAATCGCATTGGAAAATCTCACACTTTAGATTTAATTATCGGGCGGTAAATTAAAAATATCTTAAACGCGAACTTCACCATTGAAATCGGTTTTCATCGAATAAACTTCTTTCCGAGAAATAAATATAATTCTATATATATTACGGGTTCTTATCTTTAGGTTCGAAAAAATAAATGAAGAATCATTGTTACGAGAACGCAAATACTACAATATAAAAATATAGTGAAAAAATCAATTACAAAAAATCAGATACTTATGAGAAATATATAAGAAACAATAATTATAACAATTAGTTATAAAGATATAATGGAAAATAATTAAAAAAGATAATTATAATACCACTAAAGAATAAAAGAGAGAAACATGAAAAAACGAAGTCAACTTCACACCCATAAGAAAATCGTTTCTCAAGATCCTTCGACCGAAGAAAAACATCCCGTGTCAGCTTTTCGCTTTCACCCCCCCTCGTTGCCTTCATTTTTCACTATCGGAGACCGGTCGATCGAATCGGTCTGGAATTCGGTATGGTTCACGGGATAAGGTTCGATTCCCCTTAGACGCTAATGATCAGAGCAGACGACGCATGATCGTGACCCTTAACAACGAGCTCCATGAGATCGAGAAAAGATGTCAACACGTGAAGGGGAGAGAACGACAGAAACATGGCGGATGTCTGGGTTGATAGGTTCTTGAAGGATGTTTGATTTTCGAAGGGTCGAAAAAGGGGGCGGGGGTAGAGGCGGTGAACAAGTCGTGTGAGGTCGGAAATGTGAATATTTCGCAACCTTGCCCATACGGGGGTGCGAAGCTTCCGTTTCTGGGTTACCACCGCGTGGCCCTGTTGTCCATCCGAGTCCAAGCCGCTCCCCAGGGATGCAGATGACAGGCTCGCACCCCTACGCGATGACCGAGTGCACTCAACCCCTCCTGAATTCACCCTGCGGTACTGCTTGTTAGTGCATGTGTCAAGTAGGGAACAGAACAGTAGAATATTACACTTTTTCTTTATTTATAATCATTAGCATTATAGCGCCGCCATACGGAGAGGACATAAGCCGACTAGCTTGGTTCGAATCGATGTCGCTATTCCCCTTGGGATACCTGTTTCTAAGAAATAATTATTACACGGTCGAGGGGTTAACAAGAATCTGGTCGCGCCGATATAGACTCTGGAAAGATCACGGTTAGGTGAATTATGTAGTTTCGAACTGTAGACTGGTGCAGACTCAAGGATTCTTCAAGCCTCTCGTCGGTCGTTGCTGCTGGAATATGTTAATCGTGATATACGCAAATATTCAAATTAAACGAGGAACGTCAGTTGAAATTGACATAGATAGGAGATTATCATGGCTGTATTTTAAATTGAGTATTTTTATATCGTAGTCGCCAGCTAGTATCGAGTTTATGGTAAGAATTCATGGATAATCTTAGTAGAAAATACGTCGCATTAAAAAATAGTTTGCACGTCGTATTATGGTTTTCTCGTCTTGTTGGATGTGTTGAAAAATTGCATAGATCGTTTAAAAAATATGCGGATGTTCCTCGACGGGAATGGCTTTCACGGTAATGTGAGCCTCAAGTTGGACTGACTGCTTTGTCGGCGTGGGTAACGCTGTTATTTTATCAATTTCGATATTTAAACGAAATGAGAAAAATGAGAAAAGAAGAGAATGAAAAAGAACGTCAGGAGTATGAAACATATTGACTTTTTATTTGACTAATATAAAGAAACAACTTCGATCTATAAATCATTGTAATGTAATAAATCAATGTAATGATAATGCGAAGTAAATATAAGCGTAAAAAGGACGATTTGGAATGTTAAAGACATATAGAACTGCGTGAGAAATACGATCACAAACAGCTCAAATAATGATACAACATTTATAAAAAGAATTGTTAAAACAGTTGTGAAAAATGATGAATATTTCGTCGACGAATGTTGAGAAATTTTTGCGATATACGGGAAAGAAAAAAAAGAAAAAATTCAATTGCCTCCTGTGAGGATTGAACTCACGACCCCTGGTTTACGAGACCAGTGCTCTACCACTGAGCTAAAGAGGCATTTCTGTTATCCTTATTGCTCGAATCCGTAGTCATAATACAATTCTATATTTTTATCAAAATTACGAATACATAGTTATTCTTATCGTTTTAAATAATATATACAATATACAAATATAATACATTACACTTACGTATTCAAAGATATAATTTATTACTTTTTCATATAATGTCGTGTTTTCAAGGGTCGTGAGTCATACAAAATATCATATATCATACAAAATCCTGATAAACATATTATTAATCGTTAGACATCAATAATAATAATTATAGCAATAATAACGAATAAATTACAAATTCGTCAATGATCGATTAATCGTGTTGCCTAGAAGTCAAATTATTAAATTTGATTAGATGAATATACTTAGGGGTAGATGTGCGCAATTTAATATGAAATTTCAAATTTTTTGATGGTACACACAAGATATAAATATAAATCTTCGCGAAGAAGTTGTGGTCTGCATGTAGCTATAACGGAAACAACTAACACGATATTATTAAAGGTGAAATTTACAGAAGAGATTATCAATTAACATTCTGAACGAAACTTACTTGGTTTCATCGAGGAAGACAGCTTCGAGTACGCGTGCCGCGTAGTGTAAATTTCGTTGAAGTAATTCTGCAGATATTTCGCCATGTTGAAGCTGCCTCAGCAAGCATCTCAATCTGTAACAGAAATTAATATTTTACGTGTTATAAATATTTGAAAATCACTATTACTATTAATAAATTTACCGTGTTATAGAAGATAAGATTTCAAACGATTATATCAATCTTCTTTTGCTCCTGATGGTCTAATTCTACTTAAGATATAATATTTTGTCACAGTAAGAGATCGTACTTAATGCATACAACGTATCGAGTAACGTATACAATAAAAAAAGGATGAAAATAATGATATCAAACACAAGTAACACGTCATAATTCGTTATATTTTGAATTCAATTCTACACAATATAAAAATCAATATTGTGATTGTGTGCGTAAATTCGTAGCTATGTTTTCAAAATATATAAGCATTTTCTAGACAAAAGCTTGAAAAAGCTTGAAAAATGTTGCGTTATTTAATATTTTGCACGAGTGGGAATAAGCTTTGAAATTCGTACTTTTGTATCATCGAAACAATGCGTAGTTATATTAACCGCGCACCATGATATTTCAGAAGAATACTGCATTCAAATGGAAAAGAGAAATTGAATTCATTTCTATTTTACATCGAAACGTACTTCGTGTATTCTAGTAATTGCGTTCTTGAAATAACGAAATAATAAAATAACGAAAAAATGTTGAAATCATCTTAAAAAGGAACTATTTTTATTTCCTTTTACTTTCCAACTTAATTCTTCTAAATTAAATCCATCAATTTCCAGGGCGCGATTTTTGTATGTTTTTTAAGTACTCAGTTAAATATTATTTTACCTCTCGATTCAATTGTTATTCTACCTGTAATGGCTTTTTACATTTTATTTCGTTTCCCATATGTATTTTGATATTTACGAACGTATGGAATTATGTAAATTGACACGAAATGATGGAACAGAAATATATGAGATACGCTTCGAAAAGGATGGAAGAACACTGGCATAGAGGAAAATAGTATCGCGGAAGCCATACCTGAGAGCAGCCTTGTCGCAAGCATCGGGGGTGTCAACGGCAGGAAGCGAGTCCGTCGTTAGATCGACATTATCAAGGATCTCATCAAGGTCCACGGACTGGCTTGACGAAAGAGTGTCAGGACTGTGCGGCGGCGGAGAACTTTCGAAACTTCCGCCGATACTCTTACTCTTACCAGAACTTCGACGTACTATCGTTAATGTGCCTTGTTCTGGAACATAAAAGACACGAATATATTAAATAATTACACGATACTGCGTACATCCCATAAAGGAAAAAATTCTACATTCGAAACGCTTGATCATCGCTGAAGGAAGATGACTTTCCTTTCTGGATCTAACACGAGCTCCGATAATGTGATTATAAAAATTTCGTTGATACTTGGTCGAACGACGACTTTTAAATATATTTTATCGCAATTTCCTACGCGTATAGAAATAGTCATATCGAAATTAATTACGTAATTCAATTATCATAATGTAATGAGACTAATTGTAAGCTATATTCCAAATGAAAAATCTATCTATTATCGATATACTTGATCGAATGAAATTTACGACTCTAACATATGTGATAAAATTTATCAAATGTGTAGATTTTGTATAGAAATTCTGATTCAATTTAAAGCATCGGAACTTTCTATGTACATCGCAAGATTTATTGAAATTTATTGCAAATGTTCGTTATTTAATCACCATGATGTTACTAACCTTATAAAGTAATCCTATAAAGGTCTTAATATACTATACAACAATCGTGTTATAGAGTCACTTACTCGATAGCTGGCCATTCCGACCAGGCGAGGAAGGGTTGTGCAATCGAGACGACGTTGTACTAGTGCAGCTTGTAGTTGCATTAACGTTTGGAGATGCACCGGGTGAGGACACTGCAATATCGTCTCTCGTGACTCTTCGATCCGGTGGAGATGCAACTGCAATTCAATGAACAAGTATAAATTACTACTAATGCAATATTAATGTAACATATATTTATTAATGTAAATTTTCATCGATTTATCGTCAATTTATAACGGTACATTTATTTCGGTTTAGTCTTCGTTTTGTTGCCTATTGATTATGTATGTAGTATTATTTCAAATGGTAACAAGAGGGAGATGCTGCTAATTTTATATAATTCAGGAATAACATACATATGTATAGTAGCCTCGATGATTTAAAGACGGGAAAAATTAATACTTTTAAAATTGAAATTTCATTTTATGATTATCGCAATATCCTTTTTCGTAGATACTATCTTTTATTTTATCATTGAACAATGAAGGATTACTTCAAGATGTTATATCGATCTATTTACTTTTTTTTCTCTTCTATAAGAGTTCATATATTATACGCTAATTATTAGAATAATTAGAAAATTTCTTGCTCATGATATTTCGATATTTGATAATACAATATTCTTATCTTAAAGCAGTTATCGCACGTACAGAAAAAGGGATAAAGTAAAATAGATTATTTAGATATCAAGTCACTAAGAAAAGAATTGAAAGTGAATGAAAGTGAATATTTACGACATTTTATTATCGGTGCGTGTATCAAGAGGAAAACGTTCTAGCAAGTCAGTGAAGATTATAATTAATGGGAATATTTCCGCGAGGAATGAATGATGATTAAGTAGAAGTAAGGATAATTCGGAGTCCATTCGAAAGCGACAAACCGTCAGGATAATTACTCTAATTGATTGATCAAACAGACGTGAAAACAACAGGTCCGCATAGCGGAATTCGGTGGAAGAGCTATCGATTCGTGCTGGATGTCTGTGGATAACAAATTAGGCCTGCAGCAGTCCAATCAATTGTGCTCGGCTTACAATGCTATCACATTGCATCTGATAGTAGTTATGGGAAAATTAGGTAGAAATATGATAGAAATTAGGGAAACTTGAGGTTTCATCATTTCCTTTGTGCATTTTTTTCTTCATTTAATTTAGAATATTTATAACTTCAAATATTTCAACGTATTTCAACATGAAAAAATACTAGATAGAACATTTTAAGAATGTTATAATGCTTTAAATCAATATAACAATTTAAAGCAATCTTTATATTATATTAGATATTTTAAATCCAGAAAACATTCTGCTATTCTTTTCATCATCGTATCTTACAATATTTTTGAATTATTACAATTGCTAGCGACATTTCACTTGTTATCTTTGATATAGAAATTATCTTAAGTGTTAAATATCCAACATGTTATATCGCATAATTTCCTGTTATACAATGTTCTTTTGTGCAATCGTGCAATGGATAACAAAGGAAATTTATCGCGCCACAAGAAATTGATAACATCATTATAACCGGATTATTTTTAGGGCTGCAAAAGAGTTACCGTATCGCAAAATAGAATCGCTTTACGCTGTTACTTTGTGCTATCAATGAAATGAAATTCTAGCGTCATTTCTAGTGATGTATTACCTGTACCTAATTAACAGTTTTACTTTTCCAGGTTCTCGTGTGGTTACTTTTATCGCGCCGGATACCTAATCAACCTAAGTATTACTATTTCGGAGCGTGCAACTCGCAATCATGTTCGTAATAACGTTTACTTCGTTTCTAATTAATCAGAGTCATTCTCGCGAACTCATTTTACTTTCAACTAACCCGTTCCTGTTTCTTTAATAAAAATTTGTTAATAAATTTTGGAAAATGCCAAAACTTTTAAAAGAAAGTAACGAGAAATGCTCTGACATATCGCAGAGTCTTAGGTTACTTTACTTTCTTTTAAACGGAGAAGAGCAAAGAGGAATGCTCAAAAAGTTAAAAAAGTTCCAACGATTATGGTTCTGGTCTAAAGTTATTTAATATGAACATGCCATGGATTTTAGGTGAAAATTTTAAACAGAATATTAATAGTAGAAGCAGGAATGTTTGGAAAATGGAATTTTTGGATAATTAAGTTTCCTTTTCTTTCTGTTTCAAGTGCTTTATGTTAATACTTTGCAAGAAATTATCAAAAGGATTGTTGATTCTTTTTGATATGAATAAATTATACTGATACACTTGATTCATACTAACATTGATTCAACGAGTGCATGAACTTTGATGTTCATTCAAAGTATAATCAGTATAATCCTCATCGATTTAATTTTTGTGCGATGGTCAACGAGTAACGTGCCCATTTCAATTTACATCTCATGTAAATCTACAAATTGAGTTGTATCGAAACTCTTTTCGATATTTCAATGAAATTTTCTACACAAACCAGTATCCGTTTATTAATTCAGCTCTATCGAAACTGAATGCCTAAATAGACAAGTTGAAATAACTTGTTCTGAATGAGATTTTGAAAACAGCTGACGCGTATTCTACGAAGCTAAGATTTATAGAACTAGAGCGAACATTTTATACGCTATATGTGTTATTATATGTGTTACTATATACTATATACTATGTGTTACTATTATACGCTATATGTGTTACGCTATATGTTTTATACGATGTAATTCAATTCATCTTCCTTTATTAAACTATTAATAAACTGGTTAAAAATAAGCTGAAGGATTCTGCGATTTTTAGAATATTCTGAATTTAATATTTCGTTTGAACGTTATTCTTTCAGTCTCTTCTAAAATCAATTCTGAATTTAAACCAGCAGCATCGATAACCCGCAACCTGATATCCTTTGATCCTATAGAATCTGAAAAATATTTATTCGATGATAAGAAACATTTTCGAAGATTTTCCACGTGAATTTCTTTATGTTATTTTCATTTTGTAAACGTTTCAGCCTTATCTCGGTACTTACAATAAAAAATATGTATCAAGTTACGTATAATTAATTATAGTATAAAAAAAGCAAGCAGTAGTTTAGAAAAATGCTATATGCTATCAATAATATAAGTATATAAACATCTAGTTCGTTTAAAGATTTACTTTTCGGCAATTAAACGTCGCATTTCTATCGATGTCCTGTTTCTTCTAGGGTTTCGTAAATTTTCATTGGCGCTTAAATAACCGTAATAAATACATTTAATTGTTTCCACGATAGCGATCAAGACAAACTGCTTTTAAATCTAAACATATGACTGGAAAGACGCAGTAGGTCGCTCTCGACTTAAGCATTCAATAAATTGTACCAACTGGAAATCGACAAGATTGAGTCGCCAGCATGGCTCGCTTGAATTTCGTGATTCATGGCTGACGATAGTAACCCGATCAAGTTGCGCTCCAATGAATCGTGGATCCATGCAAATTTCTGTCCGTTACGGCACGTGTAATGAAAATACAATTATGTGGTTCTATAGTACTTATTATGCATCCTCGGTTACAGTTATCATGAATCAATGCACGTTCTCAATACTGACTGTGTTAGTATCGGTGATTGAAATCGTGTAATTGCGTCCAAATAGACGACATTTGTTTAGTGCTTATCGGAATTTGTTACAAATGAAATGATTTTCTTTATTCGAATTTTTTTTAAATACAAATTATTAAAAATTGAAATGATCTGCAAATTTTTGGACAGTGATTTAAGGTTGCGAAGAAAGGGAAAAAATATATACAAATTTTTCGAATCTATATAAGGCGCATAAATTTTTTATTAAAATATTCGACTATTTAACGAAGTCTAAAATTCAGATAAACATAATTTCGCTCATTTAGTTTCGGTGTTATTATAGAATCTAATTTATGTAACCTCGTCCGTTACATCTTCATTACTTGTTTATATCGCATCTATCACTCTGCTGTAAGTAATTAAGAGAAAGAAAAGATAAAATGTGAACGTGAACTTATACTAGTTGGAGTTGAACGTAAGGATTTCTAGACGAGTAAGATGGTTTCCAGACATTCTGTCTGCTGGATGTTGACTCTTGAGACGGCCACTTCACTTCTACTTTAAAACTAACCTTGCGCTTCTCTGCAGTCGTTTTTTGCGCATAAAAGCACGAAGTAATCGGCTGTATCTATTGGCCAACCCTCTACCTCATGAAATTGCAATTTTTGACCAGTGTTTACTTTCTTTATCGATCGATGAAATTTTGCATAAAATTCAAAATTTTTGACAGATATATTACAATAAATTTTGGACACTTTTAATTTTTATTGTAATATATGAATGTACAAAGTCTTAAATAATAATTATATTATCAACGGCATAGCACGCGTAAAAGATACGTTTTTGCACTTTATGAACGTTAAACAAAAACGAGTATTTCTTTCCAATTTTCTTTTTTTTTTTTTTTTTTACAGTCGAGGAAATTGAATTTTCAAAGGTGCAGCTTCAGAGGGATCTTGTCAAAAGGTGCGGTTTAAAAAAGCGCATTGGCACGTAGTGAATCTGGTTTAAAGCTCGACGCGTCACGTAGAACCAGTCTATAACGTGTACGTCGAAAACACTTTAGTCGTTGTATTATGCTAAACAATTTGCGCTTTCGGCGTGTTACGTTAATTAAACCGATATTACTATTTCAGCGGACAATATAAATGAAAATGCGTTTGTTGCTAACGTGTATACATATCTACATATATTACGTAGAATTGAGAGAAGTGTCGTTTATATCGAGGCAAACAATTTTTGCTCGAGTATAATTACATATTTGACTAATAAATTTTGTGGAACGAAAATGTGTGAAAATTCTCATGTTTTATTTTTAAACAGCTAATAGTCCTGTGAACATGACTTCACGGACTACTTTCTACAAGTCTAAGGTCAAGACAGTTTAGTTTCCAAATACAGTATTATTCAAATAATATTATTTAAGATTAAGTAACAATTCATTTCACAAATGGAACAAAACATTTATCTGAATAAAAGTATATTTTGATAATACCAAATCTTGGTTCGTTTTATTAGTTGGAAATACAGTGTACAAAATCTGTATCTAAAGGGATACTAAAGTGCAACTAAAACGTGATGCATTATACTTTATACCTTTTGAAGAGAATTTAGCAAACATCCTGCGAACAAATTT